AGTCTTATACAGGTTTCTTGGCAGGAGGAGTCGGTACCTGCCCACTGCTGGGTGAAGCTTGGTCCTGGACCTCTGGTGGGTAGGGCAGTGTCTAGAGGCCTTTGTGGCTTAGGAAGTTTGCTGATGGGTGGGTCTATGTTCCCACCCAGTATGCTGTTTTGCTTGAGGCTTCCTTACAGGCTGTTGGGTGGGGCTAGGTCTTGGTGCTAATGATCCAATCACGATGTCAGCCTCCAGGAGAGCTCATGTAGATGAACACTCCCAGAATGTCTGCCACCAGCTTTTATGTCCCCTGGATGAGCTGTAGCTGTCCCCTACCTCCCCAGGAGACGCTACAAAACCAGCAGGCAGGTCTGGCCCAGGTTCTAATGAAATCACTACCTCTGCCCTTGGACCTGGCATACACGAGATTCTGTATAGTTCCCAAGAGAATGAAGTCTCTGTTTCCCCCAGTCCCTTGGGGCTCCTGGAGTTAAGCCCCACTGGTGTTCAAAACCAGATGTCCTGGGGTCTTCTTCTCTCAGTGCTGGGACCCCAGGCTGGAGAGCCTGACATAGGGCTCAGAATTCTCACTCCTGTGGGAGGGCCTTTGTGACTTAATTACTCTTCAACTTGTGGGTCACCCACCCAGCGGGTATGGGGCCCACTTATATCATGAGCACGCCCCTCCTACCGTCCTGCTGTGGTTCGCTCTCTATGTTTCCAGTTGAAGATCTTTTTTGCTAGATCCTTCTTTTTTTTTTGGTTGGTTGTTTAGCAGTCAGTTGTGGTTTTTGCTTTTGCTGTGAGGAGAGGCGAGCTCGTGGTCCTACTACTATACCATATTGGCCAGAAGTCCATTTCCATTTAAACTATTGATAGATATGTACTTATTCCCATTTGATTAATTGTTTTTTGGCTATTTTGTAGTTCCTCTGCTTCTTCTCTTGCTCTCTTCCTTTGTGATTTGATGATTTTTTTAGTGATGTGCTTACATTCCTTTGTCTTTCTCTTTTGTGTTTCTGCTATAGGCTTTTGCTTTGTGTTTACCATGAGACTTAACTTATATTTATAACAGGATTTTAAGCTGATGATAAGTTTGTTCCCATTTTAAAACTATGTTTTTGCTCTCCCCTCCACATTTTATGTTTTTGCCGTCACAATTTTGCATCTTTTTATCTTGTGTAGCCTTTAACTAATTATTGTAGTTACAGTAATTTTTAGTACTTTAGTCTTTTAAACTTTAGACTAGCTTAACAAGTGATTAATCCACCACCTTTACTATGTATTTACCTTTACCAGTAAGACTTAAACTTCCATGTTTCCCTGTTACTAATTAGTGTCTTTTCTTTTCAGCATAAAGAAGTCCCCTTATCATTTCTAGTAAGGCCAGTTTAGTGGTGATGAACTCCTTTAGCTTTTGCTTGTCTGCAGAACTCTTTCTGTATTCTTCACTTCTGAAGGGTAGCTTTGCTGGGTAGAGTATTCTTGGCTGGAAGTTTTTTTTACTTTTAGCACTTGGAAAAATAATGCCAAGTCCCTCCTGGCCTGCAAAGTTTCTGCTAAAAAAATCTGCTAATAGGCTTATGGGAGTTTTCTTATAGGTAACAAGGTGTTTTCCCTCTTGCTGTTTTTAAGGTTTTTCTCCTTGTCTTTAACTTTTGCCATTGTAATTATAATGTGTCTTGGCATGGTTCTCTTTATGTTGTTCTTATTTGGAACTCCCTCGGCTTCCTGGCAGGATTTTCTTCTTTTTTATGACTGAATAATATTCCATTGTATGTGCATGTATACCACATTTTCTTCATCCATTCATCTATTGTTGGACAGTTAGATTGTTTCCATGTCTTAGCTATTATAAATGAAGCTTCTATGAGCATGGGGTGCAGATATCTCCTCAGTAGAGTGTTTTCATTTCCTTTGGATATATTCTCAGAAGTAGAATTGCAGGAGCACATGGTGGTTATTTTTAATTTTCTGAAGAACCTGCATACTTTTTTCCCATAATGACTGAACCAGTTTACAATGTGGGGCAACAGCTTTAATGCAGGTGGCCATAAGCAAATTAATCATTGCTAAAAATTACCAGAATTAATTACATGTTAAGCTTTATAACCTGGCTACATTGGCATCTGCTGACTGGTTTCAGGGTCACAGGGAAGCTCTCAGGCCCCCTTCTCCAATAAAACCAGCTCCAATTCCCAGATGCCTGAAATTATTTCATTTAGGGCTTTCTCACCTCTTAAAATCCAAGTATCCTTGGGCAGAAGCACTAAATCTTTATCTGCTTATCAACTGCATTCCACTCTGGAGCATTTACTGAGCACCTCCTGTATGAATGGAGTTCACTGGGTAGAGCAGTGGTTTTTGAACTTTTTTGCTTGCATACTTCCTAAAGCATTTTAAAAAATCTTTATATCTGACACATTTAAAATCTGGCAACTGAACTTTTCATAATAAACTTAAATATCTGAAAGGGGTATAATTTTGATATATAATAAATATTGACATTTAAAAGGAAAATTGCTTCATCACTCATTTAAATGTAGCCAAAGAAACCTAAATACCGTGATGATTTGCTATACCACAAAATACACAGAGGCTCCTTTTTAACAGTTGGAAAATTTACATTATGATTCTCCTTTGAGCCCTTATTTCTCTTTCTCTTGCCTCGCAAAATGTTATCCTGATGTAACACTTTTTTTTTGCTTATAGTATGTTATTGATCTACACAAAACAAAAATAATATATAGAAATTCAAATTTATTTTGAAAAAATTTCTTGTGATCATAAAAGCACTGAATGTTATGGTTTCTACAAGATTGAATAGTTGCCATATTTATTAATGATACATAATTGATCAAACCAACAAATACTTTACAAATTTTAACTATTAAGAAGAAAATAAAATTTTCTTGGAATTGTATCATGTAACAGGATGGATGGAGATAAAACTTTTTCAGTTAACTCAAGTATCTAAGATAAATGTTACTTATCTGAATGAATGTTAATGTTGCTCAAATGAGTCAGGGTTCATAATCCTATATTTTTATATTTATAGGCATAAGTGTCTGGAAAATCTTGTTCACAAAAATAATTAAATGGGAATGGAAAGGATTTTGTTATAGCAACATCACTCAATCCTCTGAACTTTTTCTGAGTTACATGCCAACAATCACATAGTAATCTGTCATCAATTTGTTTTAATAAATGTTTTGTTTTAGAATTGTTTTAGATTTACAGAAGTTACAAAGCCAGTACAGAGACTTCTTAAATATCCTTCACCCAGTTTCCCTGTTGTTAACGTCTTCCATTACACTGATACATTCATCACAACTAAGAAACCAGCACTGGAACATTACTATTAACTAAATTCCATCAATCTGTTCTTTAATGATCTATCAGCTGTTAACTTAATTTGGTATTTCTTCAGTTTTGTTGAAAGCACAGAATTAGAAACATCTGACTTGTGAAAGGATTTGTCTTCCAGCCTTTCCCTTCCTGATTTCCTGGAAAGTAGATGAAAAAAAGGCCTTACTAAGACTTACCATTTAATAGTTGATTATACCTGTTTCTCTTACACTTGTCAAATCTGACACACTCAAAGTATTAGGAAAACCAAAATAGTGATAATTTTAATATATCTTTGCTAATACCATGTTTCTTGATAAAATGCTTTTTGTCTTAGCATTTATATCTAAACCTTGCAGCATCAAATTTAGCTCATTTAATTTATGGAAAATGTTCCAGGGTAGCCATATAACCTAAATTCCAAACCAATCCTTATTGTTAAAGCTCGTAGCAAAATTAGACCTTATTTTTCAGTGTAAGTAAAAATGTTGATATATTAACGAATTTGGATCCTAACAGGGCAAATAGATAGGGCAGAGCCTTGCCCCAAGTTTACTGTCCAGATCCTTCCTTCAGGAAATCATGGCCATTTGTAATATTTCTTACCTCCTAATTTCTTGATTTGCACCCACTGGACCATCCTTCAAAAGTGATGTACTTTTTGATAACAATTAGGGGAAGGGAAAAGGTGAAGTATCTCAACAAAAATTGCCATTGTTCCCACTTTCTTCACTCGATAATATATCTGAATGCAAAAAGATTTCCAAGTGAGCCAAAATATCCATTTCTAATACAAGCCTTGTCCTTAACAGAAATATCTAAAAGATTGGGAAAGGCATGCATCCCTCTTTGAAGGGTGGTGCACCATGCTAATGCCTACTCTTGGGGAGTGGGAGAAGTGATTGTGGAGGGAGACCCAGCATGAAACCTTGACTGCAGGCTCAGATCCATTTTAGGAAGAAGTACATTAGGAAGTTGAGGATATGGGAAGTAATTAAACCTCTCTACACAACATACCCTTGCAAGGCTCTTGGAAACCCCAGGATGCAGATACTTCAGACTGAATGATGCTGGGAGGAGGCGTAAGAGCCTGCCAAGATCCATGCCCACAACAGGGGGGATGAGGCATCCCAAGGGGACAGATAGGCTTACCAGCAGTTTCCATATGGATCTTTCTCCATGACTGGTCTTAATGAAGGAGGGTGGGAGAGTCTTACCTCCTGGGCTTGGGAGGGTGATGGTCCTTGGTCTGCTTTTTGGCTCTTTGAGGACTAAAGGCCCAGAGCAGTTTGTTTTTATCCCAGACATGAATACCGTACAGGCATCTAGAAAGTGAAGACCCTGAATTAAGAGACATTTAGTGGTCTAAAGTTATGCAAGTGGTTCTGTTCTAAATTATGACTGTAAAATTTTGCCTTTTAAGTAACTGTTTTTTTTTAATATTATGAAAGTGATGAAGATACAGTTTAGCACTCTTTATAAAACTTTTGGACTTCAAAGTAACCCTGCAGCACCCACTTTGAAAAATGCTAGTTATGTGTTAGTTTCCTGTTTTCTCTTGAGTATTACAGGCAAGGCTTTCCATTTGCCTGCCTGTTATGTTAGAAAAGCCTAGACTCGCGTAGTCTCTGCCTGCACGGGCCTCATACTGACTCTTCTATTTGTGCAAGAAGAAGCAGGGAGAAGTCAGCAAGGCAGCCAGTGCCGACAGCACGACTGAGGGCACGCCTGGCGATGGTTTCACCGTGCTCTCCACCAAGAGCCTCTTCCTCGGCCAGAAGGTAGGCAAATGCGTGGCCCTGGTCTGCTCGCAGGCCCTGGGACGGATCGGTACCTCTGTCAGCAGGAAGACCCGCTCGGGGCCACTCCTGGCCTCGTGGGCATGGGTGGAGAGAGAGTGGGTGGCAGGGCTTTAGGACAGGCCTCAGGGCTGGCCAAGGTGGGGGTGCTGGGGGGAGACGGGCAGGCTGAAAGGGGAGACAGTGGTAAAGAAGAAGGACAGTGTCTCCTGTGGGGGGTCGGAACACCCCGGGCTTAGTCTGTGGAAGGAGCTGTGTATGTGGGATGACCTGGTCATCCTATAGCACTGGCCAGAAAAACAGCCAGAAATCAAAACCAGATCCTGGAAAAGGAAAGATCTGCAGGCAGCCCAGGTGTTCTGGTGGGCACCAAAGGTAGAGCCCTGATCCAGGGGGCAGGATTGTTTCTAGACACAAAGCGGGTGCACTAAGCCATCCGAGGGCTCCTCAAGCCAATCGTCTGTTTGTTTTAACCGTGGGCAATATGTTTTCAGCCACCCCAGTGATGCAGCTTTGCCAGGACGCCATGGTTTTGTAACAGATGATTCACTTTTGTTGAAAATAAAAATGATGCAAAGGCTTTTAAGACCAGAGAATGAGAGTTAATTAGTATTTCTCTGTTAACACCAAAAAATGGGGTGGAGAGAGAGGGAATTTTCTGAATTTTTTTTTTACCCTACATTAAAAAAAAAAAACTAAAGGCATGAATTTGACCTTCCATATAAGTTGAGCTTAGTTTGAATGGTTAACCACTTGGTTCTGAAGCTGCATCATTTTTAAAACTTCACTGTCAGTTTTCTTTTGCATCTCAGTGACACAGTCCTCCTGCTCACCTCATCGCAAGTGCTCCTTCCCCCCTCCCTCTTCCTGTCACTAATTGCAATCAGGCTCTCATGATGCAATTCCTGTGGTGGATTCTGTGTTCCAGCAAATAACCATTACAGTATACATTTTATAACCATTATCTGTATTTTGTATGCATTTTTCAAAGGAAAAAAAATAAGCAGCACTAGTTGTCATCTTAAGGTCTGGGGCTTCAAAAGTTTTTGTTTAAAATATTTTTTGTTTATTTATAAAATTTCAGCTCAGCAGTGAAGGCAACCACTGGGTCTCTTTTCACACCCTTTAACATGTCCTTTGGGTAATATGTGGAAAGTTAATGTGACCTGTCATCCAGATTGCTTTGGTTTGAACTAAAGTGTGAAAAACCCCTGTGCAAATAGCAGTGTGACTTTGGGGCTAGTTTCAATGTGCTTCAGGTCCCTAGTGCTGACCATCAGCCGAGACTTGGAAGCCTGTTCAGCAGGTAGAACATTTCAGCCTCTGGGGCCACTCTCCCTCGCTCCTCCCCCTGCCTCTCCCTTGGGTGCCCTGACCCTGGCCTCTCCCTTCCCTGTGTTCTTCTTGCTCTCTCCTGCCAGTTACCCCAAAACCAGCTTCCAGTCAGAACTCCTCACACCCCTTTGCTGGATGAACTCAAATATTTGCAGAATAGCAATACTCAGCCATGCAAATGTCCATATATAAACGGAGATGCCCTTCTTGCCCTTCTTGATCTTGGGATCAGGGCTGCATCTAGATCTGCTGCACATGGGCCCTGGAAGGGAGGCAACAAAGGCTGCAAACACATTTCTAGCCCCTCTGCACACCAAGCAGCACCATCCTCCTCCTCCATTTGGGGACATCTAGTCTCAGGCCTCAGGACCAGGCACCTCAGGCAGGAAAGTACCAGAAAGTACAAATCTAGCTAATCCTGTACCCGACAGAGTTCGGGAAGAGGAGTCCAAAAAGCTGTAGAGAAGCACTGATACTCTATAATAGTTTACAGGCATGTTATCTAATATTATTTAGGAAACAGAGGAACATGGAAGAAGTAGGCTTAACAGGGAAACTAATGTGCCTGCTAGATATCTTGACTTTTGAAAGGAGAATCTGATTGCTTGGAGCCCAGTATAAAACAGTCAACTATGAGAGAAGGAACTGTGTGCAGAACCAGAAAGAACACCTGCTTTCTTTCCTTTATCACACAGTCAAATGTGATAGGTGGGACAGAACCCCAAAATACCCTGAGACTGCCTTTGCAGTAAATATACTTCCCAAGACGCACACATCCAGGATGAGCTACCCCCACTTCCAGCTTTGCAGACTGCCTTTAGCAGAGTAAACTGGGTCTCCCCAAATGTGGTGTCACAGAATAAAGTGGCAACTCAAGTCACCCTAGGCACCCTATTAGGAACTCGTGTCCTAGCAGCCCTTTTGGGAACCCTGTGCCCCTTCAGCATGAGATGGAGTGTGTTCATAGTTGGGAGCATTATTTTGAAGCAGTACTTTCTGGCCCTTTATTCGTTTTTACTGTCGGGTGAAAGTCATGGCATATAGTGCAAAGGGGGCAAAAGTGGTAAAACTGACATAGGAATTTTTACACAAAGCACATTTTAAAATGTCATTATTACAGACATTAATTTTGAATTGGATCTTAGGAAATGTTTCAAAAAGCATACTTGACAGTGATGACTGTATACTACCCTGTGTCTGTAAATCTTATTTTCCACCCGTGACAATGAAACCAATGCTAGAATAGTGCAAGCAAGCTGAGGTCAGAAAAAGTGATACTCTGCTTGCTACAGCCGTGTAAGGCTGGTTGCTAAGCCCCTGGCAGGAGAAGCCAGCCCAGGGCTTTGGAGCCTGGGGTCTAAGTGTTGTTGATGATGTATTTCACATACTGACATCTCAGGAGTAATCACCCTCATTACTCTCTGATTTTACCCAGTGTTCACACACATTGTTGAATTGTTTTCAAAAGGAGAACAGTGATGTGAATCTGAACTGACTAAATGTTTTTCCTTTGTGGTTCAGTGGAGATTCCCAGCTTCTTTTCAGAGACTTAAAAAGTTTTATGTCCAGAGTACTTCCAGTGTGCATTTCTATAAATCTGTGTCAGTGGTAGTGGATGACGTAGGCTTCCCTGGAAGAATCAGTGTTATTAGAAGCAGTTTGGAAGGCAGTGTAAAGAGGGTGTGAGTGAGTCTCTGTGCCTCCCCAACTATCAGGATTGCAGCCGCAGGCCCACAGGCCGCGAGAGACAGGGGTAGGTATCATGGGTTTTCTCCCTCAGATCCAGATGCCCTTGTCCCAGGGGCTGGGAACAGGAAGGAGAGAGGGAGCGCTGGAAGCGGTAGTCAGGAGGAAAGGGCTGCTACCCGCTTCCACCCTGTGGCTGATGATTGGCTTCTGAGCCAGCTGAGGGTGCTCACGAAGCCATGCTCCTGGGTCTCCAGCAGTGCCCACGCGTGTCCTTATCTTTGTGTGGCACATTCTAGCCCGAAACCCACCAGATGCCATCGCCAGGCCTGAGGTCTCTGGGGGAATTTAGGCCAGGGATGCGTGCAGGCTGGGCAGAAAAGGAGCCCCTTCATCCCAGAGGCCAGGGCAGGAGTGGGCCCTGGATCAGGCCCCAGGGAGCACATGGTTCTCCATGGGGACACAGAATCAGTTTTATGGAGAACCTCACCTTTCCATCCTCCTTAGCAGAAGTGGACTGTGGGGACAGGAAAAGACTTGCATTTTCTGTGGCAAGCACAGGGAAAGAAGACCGGCCAGTCTCCTTCCTTGTCCATGGTGGGGGGAGTAAGAGATAACCACATTTTGACAGTGACAGGATGACTCAACATGTCAGTCAGATCATCTTTAATGATCACTTTTATTTCCTAAAATTGAATTTCTGATTATAAATTTAAAAAAAATAGGATTCTTCTATTTCCTGTGCCAAATAGGTCATATCAAGGCAGCCTGGATGTCCATCCAGTAGCTCCAAGCCATCAGCTCCTTCCTTATCATGGGCAAGCTGCCTCCTGACCTGCCCTCACTTGTGGTGCCGCCCTCCCTTCCAGGATGGCCATGTTGGCTCTGAACCACCTCAGGTCCCAGCTAGGCCAAGGGCCTGGCTCCTGAGCTCTAGCCTTAGCAGTTAGCCCTGTTTTCAGGGAAGGGGTTTGTTGACTTCATCCCAGAGATATGTCTGGATGTTTGACATTCAATTCCAGGTCTATTTGTGGGCTCACAGGAACCAAACCCTGTCTTAGGGACTGTATGGCCCTCATGCAGGAGGCAACCCACTCTCTGTCTCCAAGGAGCTTTGTACCCTAATGAGTTCCATCAGGAGTGGACAACAAGGGTTAAGTGGCATAATCACTCGAGGGAAGACGGGGTGGTGTAGACATCAGAGGCTGGCTGCTGCAGAGCCCGCTAAGATGAGCATCACCAGGTCCCAGTGGTGGAAGAGCTCTTGAAGGACACGGCCCAGTCCCTTTCTCCCAACTCTACAGCCAAGTGGGGCCCCCTCTCTGCTCTGCCACTTGTAATACTCTGAGGTCACTCTCTCCAGTGGCCGGCAGTCTTCACAGATATTTTAAATTCCCCATGCTATGGTTTAAAACTTAGTTTCCCATGTTTCCCAATGTTAAGATAAGGAAGTAGTCACCTTATTCAAATTCTGAAATCATTAATGACCTGCCTCCATTCCAGAAGATCAGACTAAACTTGGCAATTTTCATAGTTCCCCAGAAACCTGCTTTTCCAGCCCACAAATACCCCTGTGCTTCAGACAGCCATGTGCCCCTTTGGCTGAGAGGCCCAGGTGGATTTGACCCTGGGTGGGCTTGGAGGGGGCCTGGGACCTCCTAGGACTGGCATCTATCCCGGCCCTACCAGGCCTGTGTGTCCTCTGCACAGCGAGATCCTTTTCAGGCATGTGTGTACATGGCCTGTGTCCATCTTTCTGTCCAGGGGCATCTGTCTTTGTGTATGATCATTTCACTGTTGGCTGCTGCCCACTGGTCCAGCCTGCCCAAGTCAAGATATAGCCCATTTGTCTTTCCAAAGTGCCTGAAGCAATTTGTCCTCTCCTCTCCCCATTCTTCTCCCAAACACACAAACACACCTCCATCCCCGGCCCCTCCACTAAGCACATGCTTTATAGTCCTCTATATTTGTACATATTTAACAACAAGACTGTTTTGTGGCTCATCCCCTCATCCTGAGGACTTCCGCTGAGCCTGGCACACAGCAGAGTGTAGTTGGAAAGTCAAGACTCAGATGTGGGTGAGAATGAACCAGCACTTGGTTAGCTAGGGCTTCTCAGTGCTGGTAGCAGTGGCTCCCCGAGATGCAGTAGTGTATGCTTCCAAGAGCAGGGCTGCCTCTGGTAAGAGGGAAGGTGATGAGCCCAGAGTGCACTGGGGAATCTCCGAGGATCTTGAGTTCTCTTTGCAACCACTCTCTCGCTTCAGCAAGGCTGTGAAGTCCCACAGTGTCCCCAGAAAGCCCATTCCCCTAGAGAAGAGGAGTTCTCCCCAGGCAGAGTCTCAGTCTGCTGGGGTCTCCCCAGCCCAAGTTGAATCTGCATGGAAATAGCTGGGTTTCCACTGAGGCATTTCTGCATACAAATCCAGAAGCATCTATACAACTGGAAAAAAAATAGTGTGGATTTTACAGATTTAAACATGTATGGCTTTTTTCTTTCTTAGCAGCCTTTTTTTTTTAATGTTCCAAACTATCACTAACTTTTTTTTAATTTTTTTGGGGGGGGGATTAGGTTTGTTTATTTATTTATTTAATGACAGTATTGGGGATTGAACCCAGGACTTTGTGCATGCTAAGCACACACTCTGCCCCTGAGCTATACCAGCACCACATAAACAAACCAAAAAAGAATCTCATAGATGTCTTAAAAGTGTTCTCATCCACAACACCAAGTGGAATGTTTCTTTCCCTTTTTTCTCCTTTTCCTTTCTCCTCCAGCAACCTTCTGCTGCTTAATATAGTATGGGGTTTTATTTTTGGTAGGGAGCAAGGAGTTTTGGCTTAATGTGTTTTTATTGACAGCATTTGTTTGAGTACTTACTTGATATCGTAATCAAACCCTTTCCCCCATCCTGAACCCTGAACCTTCTCTTGCCTTACCCTGAGCCCCCGTCCTTCTGGTGCGTGCCCACCCACACCCCTTCTCCTGAGCATAGTCGTTAGCACCCTCGCCCTGATGCTGTCTCTTTTCTGAGGCTCTGTCCTGGCACCAGGGCCTGTACTTCTGAGAGTCTCACTGTGTGAGATCACCCAGTGGGCTTCCTTCAGCTTCCAGAATGTCGGTGGCCCCTGATCACCTGCAGTGCTGGGAACTATACCCCAGAAAGCCCAAGTGGAGAGAGTTTGTGCCTCTTCTCTGTTCAAGCCCTCACTCACAGTGAGGCCTGCCACGCTTTGCCAAGGGACTAACCAGAGTCCTTCCTCGGCCATGAGACCAAATTTATTTCCACAACTTTTAGTCTAAGCAGGTCCCTTTTTTGAGAATTTGCTGACTGCTTCTGGGAATCAGAAATGTGTTTATATTTCTGTTGCTTATAGAACGTCAGGTTTTTTTGTTTGATTTTGATTTCAACAAAATGTTTGGCCCTGGAAATTCAGTGACTTGCAGCTCAGTTGCCAAGAGCCTCTGGCCAAGTGTCTGCACACAGCCCTCTCCTGGGAGTGAGTGCCTACACAAGGATGCCTGCCCTGCTGGGCCTGGTGGGTGCGATCAGCTCCCCCAGCCAGGGTTGCAGTCGGTCTTGGGCATCCTGTGGCTGCTTGGGCATTGCTCTCTGCTGCAGCTGTTAGAGATTTATGTTACTGAAGAACAAGCATCTCCACTGGGAGAGCATGAATGCTTAGCTGCAGGCACTTGTCCCTAAGGACAGGAAAGGGAAGAGTAGGACCCAGAATGCCCTGGGAAGCTGATTCCCCTTGCCTTTCTGACAGCCAATCTAGAACTTAGAATTCCTCTCAGATCGAGGGTTGTGATGGGAAGGGGAGTGGCTTTTCACAAAGACTCAGTTGATGGGGTACTCATAAAACTCACTCAAGGGAAATGCTCTATGCATTGGGCCTCAGATTAGCCTCACCAACAAGGTGAACAGTTTAAAGGACACACTGTCTTGCTCAAGAACTGCCGTGTTTCTTCTTGGGTTTTGCCGGAACTTCAGCATTACATGACTAATAGGCACGTAAAATTAGATGTTACTAAGCAATAGACCATTCTTGCTCCTTGCCATCCCTGAGCAGGGCAGGGGAGCCAGCCAGCCAGTAGTCATGGTGATGGGGACAGCCTGAAAGGCCCAGGGCCCCTTGGGAGGAGAAGGGCAGAGGTACTAGGGGTTTGCCCAAACCAGTGAGGACTTCTGCACCATCCCTGCTCAAAGAGGAGAACAGTCACATATGCCACCTCTCCCTACCCCAGCAGTGAGTGCTCCACTCTGGGTCCTGAGCTGTTGTACTGTGGCCTCCAGATCACAAGTTCTTTTAAAGGGAAGTGGATCCCCCAGTCTGATAGGTCTCATGCCTCCCTTTGGCCCCAGGCATCACTCAACAGGTTCTGGACCCTCAGCCTAGCTTGCTTCTTTTCAGCATCCCAGTCAGCATTTGAGTCTTGTTTGAAATGGATTCATTTTAGCCAGTGACTCCCTCTTCCCTTCTGTGCCCAGTGCACCCGGAGTGTCCACTGCCCTCCTTTTATATCCCAAGGCTCACGGCTCTGTGACTTCCCGGCTGTCCTGTTATTTCCCACCTCATGCTTTTCTTTTCAGCTGAACCTTATTCACAGTGAAATCAGTAATTTAGCCGGCTTTGAGGTGGAGGCCATAATCAATCCTACCAATGCTGACATTGACCTTAAAGATGACCTAGGTAATTGGGGATGGGGTTTGGCACCATCAGCTGTCAGATGAAAAGTTATGGAACCCAGAATTTAGGCTCTTCATCTTCTAAAACTTCAGATGGTCAAACCAAAATCCCAAATGCAAGACTAGTGTTTGAGTATAGACACTGAATGTCTGCTAACTCCAGGCCATTCAAATAGGAACAATCTGATAATGCTTCATTAAGTGCGATTGGCTACTTTCCCCTGGATTGTAAATCTGTTGCCATCTAAATTCTCTTCCATAATGATCATACTGACTGCTGGTTACTTGGGGGGGGGGATTTTTTAAAGATGTGTTCGGTATTTTTTTTTTTAAGAACTGAAAAATCTCAGGTAAATACAAAATGATAGTTTCTCCATTTAAGCCTTAATTAGAAATGACACTCACCAAAGCTTGAAAACGCTTGAGAAGGGAGACAAACTGCATCAATACCATGAAGCTCTCTTTAGTCCACTAGCAAATTGGTTTTCCCCAAATTTACCAGCTACTGTCACTTCAGCTGTTTCTACAGCTGAAAACAGTGTATGACTTGAGTGCCACCTTCATGAATTATTTGGCTGAAATACGATACTAAAAAGAAGGGCAATATGAGTGCGTTCTTACGGAGGAAAACTGCCATGGCATCTCCCTGCTCAGGAGGGTGGGCAGTTCAGGACAAGCTGAGAGGTACCCCTCGGGTGTCCCACTGCATGGCTTCACCTTTGCAGAGAGGAACTGTCAGCTCAGGGGCACAGTGAAGGCTCTTGTCCTCTGATCTGTTAGCCTTGCCAGGGGCAGCAGCTAGCAGATGCCCGCAAAGGCAGCCTCATACCTGATGCTGACCGAGGTATGTTTTGTGTACCTTTAGCTTCCATCTTCGGCCACCTTTGTAAGACGGCGTATTTCCTTACTGGGAGAGGTGCTCGTTCCAGAGCCCAGACCCGACTCACACAAACTGGGTTCAGCAGTGGGCTGAGGACGTGAGAATTGGGACTCAAGCAGGCCTGGCTTGAACTTGTTTTCCAACTGCCTGAAACAGATACTTTCTTTAAAACAAAAACAAAAAAGCCCACCAACTAGAAAAAGCAAGCATCCTATCTATCCATAGGTATATTTTATACGTAAAATACGTAAAATTAAGATGGATTACAATACGAGGTAGGCCTGAGAAAATATTCTTACACATTTGAGGTGGAAAAATAAAGGCAGTCCTCTGTGTAACACCTACTGTTTACTCTGTTTTCAAGAGATGTTCCTTGAAGAGTAGACAAAATGATGAATGTCACAAGAAGAAAAATCAAACCCTGAAAGGTGACTGCTGCCGACAAAATGGAGAAACTTGTTGTTTTGGTTGGCCTGATGGTCCACATTTTTTAAAAACAGATGCCATGTTTTAATAGCCTTCTCAGTGGGGTGCCAGTCTTAGAGGCTTTTGCAAAGTGAAATGGGGCATTCGTTGTTTTGTTATTTCTTTTAACCTTTGGAAATGATCTCATGTGTGTGTTTCTCTTTTTTTGGACTTGCCATTCAAATGTTTAATTTAAACATGTCACATTTGATATTCCTCCTCCTCCTCCTCCTCCTCTCCTCACCCCCATCCACATGTGCGCACACTTCGTGGACTGATTGCCCTTTTGGCTCATATGTTGGAATCGACCAGGTAGGCCAGCCCTGCCATTGGGGCCTTAGTAAATGTGCCTGTGCGTGGGTCTCGGTCCAACACAGTTGATATACATTTGTTTACCTGTTATAGTTGCAAGTTGTACAGGCTGACATTGCCTCGATCGACAGTGATGCTGTCGTTCACCCGACAAACACTGACTTCTACACCGGTGGTGAAGTAGGTAATGCCTAGCCGGGTGCTGCCGAGTGTGTGTGTGCATGGTCAGTCGGCCGCCGCAGACAGCTTGATCCTTTGACAGCTATGCAGGGCTGCATTCATTTCACACTTCCAGCTGTCCTGACCTTCCCCAGGTCTCTCATCCCCGGGTTGTGAATGCGAGAATACAGCTAACTGTCAGCCAGGTTGCATCGTGCAGCTCACTAATGGGCACACTTCTGGTTTGGAAACTGGTTCCGCAACGTCATTTCTTCATTTGCTTCTTGAGGCACTGCTTTTGTGGAGACTGGGTTCACACATGATTTTAGCTGCGAGAGGGATACAGCCAAATTGGCTGAGTTGCATCCAAGACCACGTCTGTGTCCTCTGTGGACCTGGTACACAGGAGTGCCTGTGCCCAGGTCTGTGTCAGAAGCACAGTTATTCCTGAAAATGGCCTTCAAGCCCCAGGCACACATGGGCGTGCTTTTAGAACAGTCTCCCACGCTTAGGGGTTCTCATTTTGATGTGGTGTCCTTAGACCACTCTTGAGAAACTTTCTCCTAGACCCAGAAAATTCCTTCCTCTCCCTGGCAGCTGAAACACATTGTCAGTTGGCTTCCGGTGCTAAGGAGCTCAGGGTGGGATGAGGCAGAGAGAGCTTTTGGGGTGCCAGGTGCCAAGTCCTGTGGCTGCAGACTTGCTACACAAGCATCAGATAGTGCCCAGCTTTAAGAATGTGTTGAGGAGCTTATATAATGAGGAGATAGCCAGGTGTGGTGGCAAAAAAGCACAGGTTTGGAACTCGGTAAAAGGATACTGAACCCTAATCTTAGCATTTACTGGTCATGGGCCTGGGCAAGTCACCTAATCTCAATGCCTTGGTTTCCCTGTACATAAAATAGTGGTAATAATGAGAATTATGTTAAATCAAATAAGCAAAGCACC